GTTTTCCTGTAATACACTTGGAATTTTGATGTGAAAATGTAGAAACTTCTAGATGCCAAATCATTTCTCCTTTTAAAAGAACGAAGGGCATACTTTCTTCTAATCATCGATGTACTGTAATTAAAATATATTTGAATCTGATGTCACTTTGGTATTACCCTTAAACAACTGCATGTCAGTGAATTACATTTTGTGTTTAAAAGCTTGGCTGAATTTTATCTTAAACACAACCCCCGTGTTTGAATGAGATAAGAGGAATGATGGAGAATTTGACAGTAAGGTAAAGCCCCACACATAAATGCATTTATTGCATTTATGGGAGATTAATTAATCAGAAAAGTATCTTACATTCAGTTAACTGGAATATTAGTAAAGAGGCTTAATCATAAAAAGATAACTAATGCTGAGGTTAGTGAATAAACATAAAATAGAAAAACTAAAGGTAAAGCTTATTTTTCTTTTTATCTGTCTCACCACATGAAAGAGAAGAGTCAGTTTCTTTCGCTTTGGGACTGGTCACTTCCCAGTGGTTTGCATTCCAGCCGATTACAGTGCCATCTTCACAGGACCTGTGTTCACCCAGGTCTGCCCACATACGAAAAAGGTAGAGCTCAACTTTTCCCATTGCGACTTCTGGCGTTCGCCGTCTCTGATGGCAGCCCAGCCACAGGGAACCAGATGGGGGGATGGCCTGAGCAATGACCGTCCTCTCCGCTACTATTTTGTAATCAACCTAAAAAATGGATGCATTGTTTACTGATAATAATTCAAGCCCTGAAATAACTCACTTTCATCAAACTGCTGTTAATAAAATAAATTATTCACTAATAGCACACAGACAGTTTGAGTTTATCTTTGTTTTTTGCTCACATTTCTCAGACTAGCTCCTTAAACCTTTACAGGCTAGGTGCTACAAAGCTGGTAAAATTAAACAAAAGTCTGATAAAAGAAGAGAATAGAAATTCAAGGCAGCCATATTGATAGTGCAAATTAAAAAACTGCCTTAAACGTGAGAAGAAAAAAAATCTAAATTATTAATTAAATGAGTAATAGAAGGAGAATAGAAGGAATATATAAAGGATTAAAATACAAGACTGTAGAAAAAGATAACATTTAATATTTTAGCAAAACAATTTCACCTCTTTTGAGAGTTTACTGTCTGCTTTCTTAACCAAATGAGGGATTTCTAGAATCTCTATATTGACCTCCCCAGGGATGGCATTATATAGCAGGAAACTGACAGATTGGTGGGGCTTATTTCGCTTTATGTGGGCATTGCTCTACGCTGTCATAATAAAAATGAGATAATGCAATCTCACAAAGTGTCATCAGATATGCAGCACGACTAGTAAAGGTAATTTAGAGAAAAGCCAAAGATTTTAGTTTGACTTGGCTCTACCTTAAAGGAAAGAACAAGAGGTCTATTATCCATAGGGGACTGTGACTAAAAAAATACTGCGGTTCTGGAAAAAGAAATTGCATGAGGTGGTTTGGCCATCTACATTATTTCAACTCAGTTCATTTATATATCACCTATTCACAGCATTTCATCTCAAAGCACTTTACAAAAAAGACATTTCAATCCAAGCATTCAAACAGATTTATATTTTTTCCTGAAGAGAGGACAGTCCAGGTGAACAGGGTACTGCTCACACTGAGCATGCACATAGCACCATGCTACATATAGCTTATACTGCACGTGCACACAGCATCATGCTACATGTAGCTGACACTAAGCGTGCACATAGCAGCTAGGGTGGCCATTTCTATAGCACCAAAAAGGAGTACATTATGCTGCATATTATAATAAATTACTAAGGTGTACATAAGAATGCAGCAAACTATCATTTATATTACAATATTAAAGGGCTTAAAGAGGATGCTTGTGTAGCTGAATAGGAAATATTCATGAAAAGTCAAAAAACTATTGATTCCCAGTAGGGCTGAAACAATTAATCAGATTAATTATGATTAATCAATTGTTGAAATAATTGTCAACTAATTTAGTATTCGATTAATCGTTAGCTGGAGCGTAGAGGCTCTAAAATGTGCCTTCAACTGAAACACACTTAGTGCAGTAATTATACCAAGATTGTAAAAAAATATATATACACTTTGCATTTAAGATAAAAATAACTTTTTTGTTTGTCAATATGCTCTTTCCAGAACACCTCAAGGGAAATGTTTTTGTCTCACCTGGTTTCATTTTGTAAAAATCTTATTATTAATCAATTAATTGAAAAAACAATCAACAGATTAATTGATTTGCAAAATAATAATTAGTTGCATCCCTAGTTCCCAGTATTTGTATTTATTTAATACATTATGGTGTTTAAAAATGGCCCACTGAGATGAATCTTTAGAAGTGCAGAATGCCACAAGGCATAACATGTGTGGACTTAAATGTTAAAGAAATTATTTAACAGGTAACAGACATAATAATAAAAAGCCTAATAGTTTATTCAAACAACAAAATAAATTGCGGAAAAAAAACATACTCAACTGCTCAAATAGTATTGATTTTTTTTAAGAGCTACAATCTTTTGGGAACTTGTCTTCAGTGTCTTTGTGTTTACAGCAGACCTCTTTCTATGGTCATCACTTTAGCTGGGGGTGAGTCACTGAAAATCTACTTTCACACAATAGTCTACACTTCTGTGGGACTGGTGATGTTTTACAGTATGGTCTACCTTGCACAGGTCCATGGAAGTTATTTGAGCATCCAGGGGACACAAAATTTCATTATAAAAAGCCCTCATTGAAGAGGTACCTGCTGCACGTTTATTACTTTTTTGTTAATTCATACTCGCATGCCGTTCAATTGCAGTTTTCCCTTGCCTGCTTATGTCCACATCGCATCGACAATGTGTGCAGAAGCCATGGAATGACTCTGGACTACTTTTCCTTAAAAATTCACGCTCTTTTTCTCATTCAGATTTAAATGAGGTCTTGCATTTTGGCATAATGCTAACTTTCTGTCAATGTATACCTTAGCTGCACTCTAATCCTTGTTAACTTTTTCAACCAATGACAAGCAGATATTTATCTGACGCTGCACCACTCTTAATACAATAGATACAATTTCAAACTGATTTCTTGAATATGACAATGAGTTTATATCAATGACCTTCACACCTAATCTCAGTCAAGTTCTGCAGGAAGAATGAGAAGCTTTGATGCCAAGATGGACCAAAATCGTATCTGTATTTACAAGCAAAGATCCCGTGTGTTTGTAAATACCATCTCCTATACATTGTGTACTGATATTACAACAGCCATATTATGTAGCAGCAAGACAAAAAGATCTTTGTCCTTATTTGAGAAATCTTCCCTTTATATCCAATTGCCCTCCTTCTCCATGACTATTATTGTTTAAATGACAAAAGGTTCTGAACTTGTAAAACACAATTTAAGACCTTATAGATTTAGCTCAAACTTAACTGGGTAAACGAATATTATTTTGATACGGTTTTCATCGTTTATAATAGTATATTAAGTATTTTTACTAGTAGACATGAATATTACCTCAACGCTGAAGGTATTTCTCTGTACGTCCCTCCTTAGACACACCTTGTACCATTGCATTGGAGAAATCTTGAAAGGAAACTGGTGCCGGACTTGCAGTAGCCACACATAAAGCGCTTTGTCATCTCCCTCCAGACCTAAATTAGGATTGGGTGTCCGGACTGAGCTGTAAGAGAAGGCCACCCAGTGTCCAGGGACAACCACTTGAATATTAACACATACAGTCATCTGGGAAAGCTGTGGAATTGAGGTCCGACCCTGAAGGGTCCAATGGTCTTCACAGCCATTTAATACTGCTTTAATGTCTCCCAGGAAATATCCGGACACTGAAAAGGAAGAAATGAATGCAGAATTAGAATTTTGATTGCTTTGAAGTATACATGAACAAAATCAGTATATATAGGTTAATTAAATTTAAAAAAGCATTAGCATTGGCTAGAAAATGTTAAGCCTCACAGTTGGAATGTTTTAGGAAAAAGGAAATACAAAAGTGGTAATGAGGGAAAAAACACCACTTTCCTCTGTGAAAACATAACAGTTTCAAATATTAGGTTTTATTATTTGTTTTCTGATGATCGATGAAGTGTAATTAAGGTGGTTTATAGGCCTGGTATGAACAGAAGTACAGAAATCTCAAACAAAACGAGTTTTGCAGCAGCAGAAATAGAACAAAATAATTTAACATTTGAATTCAAATACAGCTTCTTCTTTTTTTTACAAAAAAAATCTATCACATAGACTTTTCACAGTCAGGTTAATATCAAAAGGAGCAAAGGAGTCAAATTCAATCTAAACAGATAGATTGTATGACTGATGCATTTTAACAAATGCATCAATCAAAAGAATAAAAAAACAGCAAAATACTTTTAAAAAACTTTGCTGCAATTGCTGGCTAAAATTTGGGCTGTGGCTCTAGCATCTAAATGTTCTCCGTGTTAATTATCTGTAGTTTTCTCTGTTTTTATTTAGTTCATAAAGCAAGCCATTGCATATGCAGTTGTTACTGTAGCCTTGATTAAAATATAAGTAAACCGTTGAGCCATTGCTTTCTGTTTGCCCTGCAGTGGAATGTCCGCCCATCCAGTGTGGCCTGCTTTCAAACATTTACTGAACAATTTAGGAGCAAAATTGGTTTAGGAAAAAATTTAATTAATTGCAAACAATTAATTACAGACCCTGTAAATAACTCTTACTAATCTAATCACACCACTAATATATATGAGCCTCCTCATGGATCATGCTGCATGGGGGATCATCTTCCAACTGGCAACAGGCTATTTGACCCCAGCTGATGCAATTACCAGCTTCTCATTTCTTTAATAACGATGTCGAAAGACTCATCCTGTGGTCATGGAAAAGATGCGAGTCTGTTCAACGGCCTTCCTACGCTGTGCCATCATAGCATTCATTTAAAGACCATTCCACTGCATTCCTTTTTTTTTAGCTTCACTAACATACAAATAGGACTTCTGGTTGAGTTTTTTTGTGATTTCTTTTACCAGTTGAAGTTTCTGAAAACTCCCACCCCTAACGGGGAATTGAACACAGGACCTCTTTGTTTTAAAGCAACAGTGCTTTAGGTTCATGATTTAACTTTGGATTTAACAGAGATTACCAAGCAAGCATTATGTTAATTTTTTTCAGTTTTTGGCCCAGATAAAGGCTCTTTGCAGAGGTCAAGGTAACTTTCTCTGCAAAAAACAAAAAGGAAATAACTAGCAGATATGAGCATATTTACAATGTTTACCTGTTGGAGAAGTTTCTGCTGCCAGGAATAACCAGATGACTTGAAGGAAATAGAGTCTCCATCTCCACTTTCTCTCTAAAAGAGGGTCACACATCCTTCTGGAAACATGACAACACACGGTTTTCATATCAAAGAATGACCTTTTAACACATACAGTAGGGCTACCACTCAGTTATATTAGCAAACATATTCAAATCAACGGTGTTTTTGCATAATTCAAACCATGTCCATCAACTATTTCCTCTTTTTAAGCAAGAATGATCTTCCTTTCATTGCTGTTTGTGTTTGTGAAATTGGTCACACCGGGTTACAGTAACAGTAGCAGCGGTGGGAAGCGTCTTTCACAGCTCAAAAGATAAAATGAATGAGTATTATCCATGCTTTTGTGCGTCTGAGGAAATTGACTTCAGGGCAGGGAAGGGGACACAGGGGGTCGGGTTACAAGTTACCACATTCACACCATTCACAGACATACGTTTTTGTTCTAGTGCTGTTAGGCTGCTAAATGCATCTCAGTTCACACATGTACGTGATGATATAATATGGATTCTAGGTATTAAAGAAGAAGATAATAATTGTGCAACAATCTCTGGTTACAATGTGACTGCTGTAAAGAAAAATTGATTAAAGGGAATGGACCAGCACAAAGTTGTGCTTAGCTGTGAGGTGAAAGGAGATGCAGAATTGTATTTCAAAATGATTAACCAATAGAAATCTTGCTGAAGCTTTGACAATGTCAAGTTGGAAGGTGGACATTTAGCTCAAACTGAAGTCTTTTGGGGCCTAAAACCTGTTTTCTTCTTGGGTATCCCTTTATTATACCACATCCATCTACTTTGACCAACTTCTATGCTAAAGAAAGGCATCTGCAGCATTATGTTGCCCTCACAATGTTTTATCATAGGAATGGTGGCTCAGGGTAAAGTGTTTTTCCAAACTGCAGTTTGCATACAGGCTAAAATACTCAAGCTTGGTCTCATCTGACAAGAGCGCCTGCTTCCTCATGTGGCTATGCAATTTTCTTTACCTTGTTGGTGGTAAAAGCAAAGCAGGCTTCTTGTGACATTTTTCATCTATGAGTTTTTCTGTTGCCAGTTTGAATTAAGGCCAGAACTCTGTAGAGCATGACTAATGTTTTTTGTGAATCTATGTTGCTCCTCCAGAGTAATGCACACCATGCAAGGCACTGCCCTGTAAGGGTAGGTCTGCAATTGTGTTTTACTCTTTCCATTTTGAAATGAAAGAGTGAGCTGTGTTCCTCTTTGGGTTATTCTCTAAATAAATAAATCTACAGCTACTGTAGATTTATACTGAGATTAAACACCAGAAACATGTTTCCTTTTATTAATTAGCCCACCTCTGTAGACAGTTGTAATAAATTATTTTAGACATGAAGGGGTACCGAATACAAATAGATGCCACATTTGTTATTGCCAAAGATTTGTGCAAATTTGTCTGAAATTGATAGTTGTTACCAGACAAGGTAACCTCGGAGAGATGTTTAAACAAGCAGACTGTCAACTTCTCTTCATCATATGATGATTTTTACAGCTTACTGGGAAGTTGTTAACCTCATTTGCGGAAATGAGGGTATTTTGGGGAACAAAACATCCTTTCAGACAGTTCTTCTCTTAGATCAACTCATGGTTTTCATAGAATATGGATGTATTAAGTGCCCGCTCAACAGGAGATATTTTCTCTACAGAGTAGCATCTGGAAATTGAACCTTGACAATATAAAAGTGCCCCTGGGGGCTTTAATACACTTAACCACTTTAATAATCAGAAAATAGGTTGTAGTGGACTTGGATTGTGGGCCAATGGATGGGCAAGAGCAAGGTCTGACAAATGTCCAGGTAGATAGTAGGGGTCTAGAGGCTGGTTTCCTTTTACTGGGTTTGCATTTGTCTGCAGATTTAGCTGGTCTGGAAAATCTCTCTAGTTCAGCTAAAGCTAAATCTTCAGTCTTACACGGCTAGTTTTGGGTTCACTTCGCTCAGCTATCCCAGTTTTCCTGAACTGATCCCACCCTGGAAGAGGTAGCTGCTCTGTATAGTCTCCCTTTGTGACCCCTTTGGGGGTCTTTGGTGAGCACTGGCCTCTGTCGTTGTTTAGTAAGATTACCACAATCTTAATGCAATTTAGGCAAACACATCTTTACTGATCACGGATACCAGCTATTGGCGAAATATTGATTGTATTGGCACCCGGCCAGTGTCATGGTGTGGCGGGCACATCTCTCTTTACTTCTAAGGGAATGGTCAACCAGGGTAGAATACTGTATAATGTGGCCATCCAAACTGTTACCCAAGGCATTTCTCCAGGATACTGAGTATATTTTCCTCAGTGCAGACAGGGCATCTGCATAGCATGTAAAGACATTCAATAATTGTATTATTTCTCCTTTTCAGGTTCATTTGAGTAGCACCATTGAATCTGTTGCATTTGCATTTGATATGGGTTTTGCGTCAAATGGTATCAGCTGGGACTGAAGAACTTTCTTGTGTCTGGACCATAGTGTAAAAACCCTGAAGGTACCACATGTATTTTTAAAATTAGTCTCAAACTGGCAAAGTAGCTGAGATATACGTCACAATAAAATTGTAACTAAATTAGAGACCTTACAAAACGTATAACTATCATAGAGCATTAACCTCTCATTTCGGTCCTATGCTATGAATGTTATTTAGTCATATTTTCTCATTAGCCAACTGTTTATATGTCTAAACACAAACAAGCCTTAATTACAGTTCCCTAACATCATTAACAAGATAATTTGCGATTTGCATTCCATCTTGTGTTGGCTGCTTGAGGGCTGTTGGATAAATCCATAATCTTTGCTATTTATTTCTCATATTTTGCTGTACGTTTTGCTAAAGTTTGGTAACACTGACATTATACACCAGTCCCCCATCCAAAAAATGGCTCCTATATTTATGTTATGTCAGAATGTATCAGCTCATCATATTTCAATATAAAATAAGTTGGCTACCAGAGATAAAGATATGGTTTACTACCATATCTTTATCTCTGATCTCCTCTATAGTTTATATTTTCATATGTAAACACAAATCCAGACCAGTAAACCTGATTCTGAGTTTGGAGGGTGGTTCTAAATCAGAATTAAAATTAAAGTAAAAAAAATATATATTGATCTGTATCATTTGTTTCCTCATGTCATTGATGTTTAATGGACAGCTCTTTATATTGACTTTAAATTTAACATGGAGGACTTTGACTTTCCTTGGAACTTGTTAGTGTCATGACTTTTGACTCCAATGGAGACTTGAATATTAAGGCTTGGAATATACAATTTAATTTCAATTCATCTTAGTTTTATCAGGAATACTTTATTAATCTCAAAGGGAAATTAAACATTGTATCTCAATGGGGTTCTTTTAGTAAGTTGTATGAGTTAATAGCTGCAGGCAGACCTACTTGACTTACTTGGAAAGACATTACTTGGCCCAACTATTGGCATATTTACAAGAAAAACAATCCAAAGCAAACCAACAAATTACTGTATTAATGAACAAATGTTAAAACATGGGTGATAAAAGATTAAACTGTTGGGGCTTAAAAAACTCTGCCAAGAAAAGTGGACCAAATTTCGTCCTCAGTGATGTAGAAGCCTAAAGCTTCAAGAGGCAAATGCTCATTTAAAGGACAAGCTTAGTTTTAATAACTATTTTGTCTAAAAATATTCTTGAGGTTATCTCTGAAGGTTAGTTGATTATCTAAAAATGTATCAGTGTGAAAACAAAACAGATAGAAAACGTTTTGTTAAGACAAAACCTTATCTATTCCATTGATTGCTGAACTTCTGTATTTTTCCCTGAATATCCCATTTAATTTTGACTTTCAAACAAGAAAATTTCCAGTTTATGTTACAGTTTATGCTTTTGAAACAAATATATAGAGTTCAAGGAAAACTCACTTACCTGATGCTTCTTAAAAGCATCTGTAGCCTCTCTACAGCTTACCAGGAAACTCTACAGAGGAGGACTTCTCTCTTCTCTCCGATCTGCACGTGTGTCTCCATCATCCCTTTCATCCGTCTGTCTAAGTCCGAGTTTCGCAACCTGCCACAGTTCTGCTTTGCTCCACTCCTGAAATCTTCCTCACTTTTCGTCAAGCAGCATCCACCTGTGTCTACAAGGATTTCTACTAATGGTACAGTGGGCAGGTGTGTTTGTCTGTGAGGTGCATTCAGGAAATCAGAAATTTTGCAATGAAAAGTCTTCCCTGCAGGCATTGGAGACAAACTACTGAAACACACCCACAAAGGTGCAGTAGGAGGGAGGAGAAAAAGAGACAAACGGTACATCCTGTTCTATCTATCTATCTATCTATCTATCTATCTATCTATCTATCTATCTATCTATCTATCTATCTATCTATCTATCTATCTATCTATCT